AACCTAAATACAAGCTATTAATCAATCATAACATCCCCTCCTCCACCTACCCTTCTGTGATTAGATTTACAAAACATGAATAGAGTTATAACTGTTCAAATATGAATTTTTATTCATGAATCTAGAATAATATTCTATTCAAAATTCATGAACATTTACCATAACAAAAATCGAAAAGAGGAATGCTGTACATTGCCCTGTAAAGTAGGGAGAGCTTTCACTGTGTATTTTGTAAATTAAAACCTTGTAAGTGAGAAAGTGGGTTGATGTAAGTTGTGCCTATTTACCCTGACCCCCGATTAAAGTCACTGACACTTTCTGCTACAAGAATTAATTTCAATTTTTATTGTGATTTCAAGCACAAGCTAATCTTCATCTTACACTGTAACACATCAATTCTGGATCAGACCATCCTGACAAATATTCTGTCAAGTGCAGCTAATAACAAGGTCCCACTACATATACATACAAACCAAAATGTCAACACTAACAAAGTCCCTATACACATACACACAAACCAGTGTCCTCACTAACAAAGTCCCTATACACATACACACAAACCAGTGTCCTCACTAACAAGGTCCCACTACACATACACACAAACCAGCGTCCTCACTAACAAGATCCCACTACACATACACACAAACCAGTGTCCTCACTAACAAGGTCCCACTACATATACATACAAACCAGTGTCCTCACTAACAAGGTCCCTATACACATACACACAAACCAGTGTCCTCACTAACAAAGTCCCTATACACATACACACAAACCAGTGTCCTCACTACCAAGGTCCCAATACACATACACACAAACCAAAGTGTCCTCACTAACAAGGTCCCACTACACATACATACAAACCAAAGTGTCCTCACTAACAAGGTCCCACTACACATACACACAAACCTAAATGTCCTCACTAACAAGGTCCCACTACACATACACACAAACCAGTGTCCTCACTAACAAGGTCCCACTACACATACACACAAACTAAAGTGTCCATACTAACAAGGTCCAACTACACATTCACACAAACCAGTGTCCTCACTAACAAAGTCCCTATACACATACACACAAACCAGTGTCCTCACTAACAAGGTCCCACTACACATACACACAAAACAGTGTCTTCACTAACAAGGTCCCACTACACATACACACAAGCCTAAATGTCCTCACTAACAAGGTCCCACTACACATACACACAAACCAGTGTCCTCACTAACAAGGTCCCACTACACATACACACAAACCAGTGTCCTCACTAACAAGGTCCCACTACACATACACACAAACCAAAGTGTCCTCACTAACAAGGTCCCACTACACATACACACAAACCAGTGTCCTCACTAACAAGGTCCCACTACACATACACACAAACCAGTGTCCTCACTAACAAGGTCCCACTACACATACACACAAACCAGTGTCCTCACTAACAAGGTCCCACTACACATACACACAAACCAAAGTGTCCTCACTAACAAGGTCCCACTACACATACACACAAACCTAAATGTCCTCACTAACAAGGTACCAGGACACATAAACACAAACAAAAGTGTTTAGCTATAAATAAGTATAAAACAGGTTTTCTTTCACTTCAGTCTTTATTGAAACACTCTGATGGGAGGCTTTAATTATTTTTCATAACACTGACTTTTTAAGTTTGATCAAAGAGAATATTTCATGAACAAGGAATAAATGAGATAATTGGTCTCATTTAGAACAGAAATGAATGATCACCACAAAAATGTGCCTTGTCAGAAGTATTGATTCCCTTAACAGTTCCTTGCTGACTGTAATTATTTTTCTTAAAACAGCACCTGGTCTGTTTCTACCAGTTACTATTAAATGTCTCTGGTGTACTAAAAACAAACGTAGACTGTAAGGAAATTAAGACGAGTGTCTACACCACTGACCCCAAACTGTTGTCTAACTTTGAAGAACAAAGACAGGAAGGATATATTACGTCCTGAATACAACTGTTCTATGATTTGTTTCAATGGATTTGAACTTTGACCTCACCTGACTTTGACCTTACAGTAAATGTATGTCTAGCTAAAAAATGTGTTTGAGAAAAGCCATCGACTATGGTATCAAGTAACATTACTATGATTCTTTTGGGTAAGAAATATCATAAATGTTCTAGGTAGGCAAAACATTATCTTAATCTTCACCTTATTTATCATCTTCAACTTTGAATAAGTGTTCTAAAAATATATATCAGTAAATACTTCTGCTTTAGAAAGTGTCAATGAAAAATATACTCATGACTAGACGGATCCTTTTAAATTGTACATTGTAATGATTACATAAGTGGACAGATATCAAATTCAATGACATCACATGAAAGCTACACCATATATCAAATACATAAATAATGTTAAAATCTGGTCATGTGAAATTAAAATGATTTTGAAAGTTTTAATAAAATTGAGGTGTACATGAAATAAATATGAACAGGAATTTTATAAGGTTGAAACACATTAACTACAGACACATACAGCATCATAGCTGCAATCATGTTTTCAAACACTTTGTCCATGTTTTGCATGATACTCACTCTGATAGTTTCCATCAATATATATATACAGTAATTATCTTATTTGTTATTTTTGTTCATAAATAAATCGTCAAATCCTTTTTGTGTCAGTTCTGAGCACCAGATAATCCTGACAAACAATGATGGTTGCCCCACAGAATCTTCAATTTTTTCAATAGAAAATGAAACTTGAATATCCTATAGCTATGTAATGTACACACACCCAACTCTGGACATTTATATTTTTTGTATATATTAAACATGGGTACAATTTCTAAAAGAAATTCAAATCAATGTGTAAGTGTTCATCAGTTATCTCCCTTCTTATCTATACATTTATAACACCAACCCATTGTCAATGGATGTGATACTATAGTATATAACACCAATACAGTTTTGCACCGACTGCTAGATTTGAAATAAATAGAGACCAAGTGATTTCTGTTGTAATACATCAATTTAGCCTTCATAAAAAATTTGTAATTTTTTTTTCTGTTCTCTAATAAATTATCCTCAACAATACTTAAAACTGTATAAACACAAGGGGAAGTAACTCCTATCAGAATTGAATTATATTTTGTGTTGTTACAAGGGAGATAACTCCTATCAGAATGTAATCACATGCATCATTGTCAATCTATTACCGACTTCAGTTCATTCATATGCTTTCATTTCTTCATGTTTTATAACACATACATAGTACACATTCAAAACAACACAGAGAAATAGTTTTTTTTCACATCTGAACATCTAAATTTGAAAATATTGTAGCCCTGACATTATTGTTAATTTATCAAACCCATAAAATGTATAGTAACAGTTCTATCTAGTCTTCCAGTAACTCAAATAGAACCCAACAGAGCTTGATTATAATGATTAGCTTTTACAGGGAACACAATGTTTATCTTCCTTGATGAAGTGCTCTGGTTCTCATCCTTCAGTCTTCAATTCTATTGTCTAATCTTTTATCAATTAACGTACACTATAATTAAAACTGTATAATCCAGCAGTCCAAATGATTCATAATCTAACTTTCAGAAATCATGTTCTTGTTTAAGTCAATGATGAAGGTTGTAGACAGTCCTACACTTAAAGAAACCTATAAGGATATTAATCCAAATACAACCCAGGTAATCTTGTCACTGTTTCCAAACAGTGGGAACCAAAAAACTTGTTACCTTTGAGACAGATGTGTGTCATCCATTTGTTCACCAATCGCATTATTAGAAATGAATAGGGACCAGGTGTTTTTTGTTGTAATACATCAGTATAGCCTTCGTAAAATATTTTATTGTTGCTTATTGGCGATTCCGATTACATGGACAGTAAAATAATACCATACAAATATATAAGGTTTTAACAACACATCAATACCTTCTCTGATAACACAACACCTCCCACCTCCTCCCCCACCTCCTCAAAAACAGGTAGTCAAATTCATGGAAACAAAATAAAGTTTCAAAAAGTGAAGTTTAAAGGTAGTAATTATGCTAGTCATATTGACACAGATGGGACTGGCAATGGAACAAACTGCAGTAATGGATACACCTTGTTACACACAAAAAACCAACACAATATTAAGTAGAGGACATATAGAGTTTCACAAAACTTTCTGATGTAATAAATACATTTTGTACTAGTGTATGTCATTCAAAAACAGGACATCTGGTGAATAACAGTCCCCGACACAATGTTAAATTGCATGCCAAGAATGCACAGATGATGACTATGTACACAATGTAATACTATGGACACAGAATGTGTGACAGGTTAAGGTAGATAGAGCAGTATGGGCATTACTTGTTACAAATAAATCAGTTAGATGTTACATGTGTATGTGGTGCTGTATTACTATAGTAGCTCTGTTTACTAACAACATGTTGATGGTATAAATGTGAATGAATTCACCAACATCCATCTTGTTTCACAAACAAGTATGCTTTTCCTTCAGTACAAGTGAACCCAATAGATGTGCCCAAAGTAACTCATGTATGAAGTAAGAAGTTCCAGTGACAAGTAGTGTAGGAGATTAGTCCCAAACATTTTCTCTGATCTAACTAGATCAAAGGACAAAGGTAAGGTCAAAGTGACCTACTTTTGGCACACATACACATCCTCAACCTAAAAGTAGTGCAAGTCCCTACAAGATCAAGTGTGGGAAGGACATCAAAGGTCAAAAAGACCTACTTCTGGTAACTGACATACTGCATCAACTAGGGGTATGGGTAGAGGATGAAGGGTATTAGAATATGTCACCATGAGACTTGTCTCAGATGACCTAATAAAAAACTTACTAGCCACACATCTCTAATTGTTTTAATACAAGTTGTCAGTTACCCTGCCCCTTCCCCACCCCCTTTCCCCCCCCCCCCCCCCCAAAAAAAATTATTTTTTTATTCCTTGGAATATTTTGTGATAGGACAACTTATAACCATCAAAGACTTACCAGTCCTGCTATTGGTCCTGGAAGCTTGTTGATCCGTTTGATAACACCTGGTTTTATTGTGTTCAGTAATCTGAAAGAAAAAAGGTCAATTTAACAAATCTGACAAAAACTAGTACATATATATATAGCACATATATATAGTATATTTATTGTCAATTGATCATGATAGCCATGGTTTCAGTATGCAATATTTATGGATACAGTTTTAGGACGTTAACATATCATCAAGGCCCTGAGTCCCCCACCCCTCTAGGCCCCCCAAAGACAAATCAAAATCAGATATCAAGTTAAATCATATGTTTGTGATTTAAATGGCGATGTTTCAGTAAGATGTGGATAAAATAATTCTTCTTAATCTGCTGCCCAGCAGGTGGACCACAGACAATTATAAAACATCAGGGCCCATGTAGTAGACAAGTCTGTAATTTATATAATTTATAATTAATCTATACCAATAGAAAACTTTAAAATGATTGCCCTGAACTTAAGTAAAACTATATCTACTCATATATAATCCATCAATTTCAAAGAATATTGCAAACTTAAAAGATTTCAAACTTTTTTCAACCACCAACCACAAATTCAAGAAATTTTAACAGCACATACATGAACAAATACTGTTTTTTGGAAAAATAGTAGTTTTCAACGAGGAAATATATTGATAAGAAACTCCAAAGTAAAAAATATATACATTATATTCTGTAGATACATAAGCAAAATATGTTACATTACAAACCTATATATTCCTTTCTAATTTATTGTACACAAGAGGTCCTCATTTATTTAAACAAAATTTATTCAATAGTTAAACAATATTACTCAAACATCATATCTGAGTTAGGATAACAAGTTTGAAGATTTGTAATAAAAAATACAATTCCTTTCCCAAAGTAACACTAGGACTTACTCGCATAACAGTACACCATTTTCCAGGGATTTCCTAAAGTCATCTGGATACTGGAACTTCTTCCTTGTTACAGCCTGTAAATAAAGGATACGTCATAGAGGAGTGCAAACTGTCTACAAATAGTGATATATATATATACATATCTTAACTTGTCAAAATGATCAGTAAAAATGATCACAGTAAGGCTTGTTTTTATTCATGGTATTGACATGTTTTTGGGCTTCTATTTTATTTTTTTTATATAAAACTAACTAATACAGGTCCTATGGTTTCTGTTAATCAAAAACGAAACTACCAAGAGAAATTTCATTTGTCCTTGTACAGCACAGCTTGTGTTTTTGTAGGGACATGTCATCCATTTTAATCTTGGATCAAAAGCTTGTCCACTATATGTACTCATGACTTGGATTAACAGAAGTCCGGCCAAAAGACACCTAATTAAGGTGTATGCTATATAATCTGATGGTCACCTGCTTAATGGTCAGTATATGGTCATATATCTCAACAAGAGGTCCAATAGGCATGTAGCACTCACCTGGTATACATTTACCAGCCAAATGAAAAGAAGTCATTTAAATGACAAATTTTACCCCTGTGACCTTGAATATAAGTCAAAGTCATTTTTTATTTTATTTTTTGCAAACTTTGTTGGGCTTCATCCTGGGAACATACCAGTGACTGACGACACATGCTACATCACAGCATAAGTTCACATGGACCTTCGGGTCAAGTGAGTTAAGAAAAAATTCAGGAGTACATACTTTTACACAAGATCTACTTGGCTAGCAAAACTCTATATTCTTTCCCACCTCAAAGTTAACTTCATAAGACAGCAGACATTGTTGGTAAGTTTAATCTGGCTTAAATTATCATTGGAAGAGTAAAAGAAATCTTCAAACATTTCACCCAAGTGTGACCCTGGTGTATATATATGTACATATACTTGACCACCGCTGTCACTGACCAAACAAAGACTTGGGTCTTTTTAAAGCCATCACCCAAATACTCAGAACGATTTATTTTTAAAGTTTATTGTTAAAAGAGCTTCTAGCTATATATCCTAACCTGAAATCGGGAAAGAAATCTCAAGGACTTGGGAAATTCTGTTCAATAGTTCTAACACAAAAGGGTGTTAGACTTTCACCTATAAAAATATTTTATTACAGGTTTGGTAGTCTACAGTTGTAATCGTTGTTTCTACCTTACAATCTAATATGTGTATTCCCACTTCTACAGGTGTCCGATAGTTTTAAACCACGAATAAATAGTACAGATTTAGACAAATATCTAATTACCAATTTCACAATGTCAAGTGACAAGTGTTGACTCCACCATTCAATTACTATAGGGTAAACTTTTGGAGGACCAAGTACAATTCTTGTTCAGACTGTTACTCATATTGCAAATGTAGTAGGAAATTAGGTTGTGACTAAGGGGATCTTTCTTCAAACTTTATGTACATGAAAATATTCATCCACACTTATCTAAAGGTATTGACTTTGACTATAAAAGTACAGGTTGTACTGTCGAAAATCTTTCTAACTAGTGAAAGATTTAAAGTAGCCAATGCTGTTTGATCAGTGTGTGCGAGAAGTCAGAAAGCTTACAGAAACACAATAATTTGAGCAGGAATATGGCAAGGACACCATAAGTCCATCAGCCCTACATTCTGAACAGCTATCTATGTGTCAAAAAGGGACAGCTGGGTGGTATTGGAAGCTAATAAAATGGGCAGGGTGGCAAGGTAAATGGTGAAGTGCGATTTTCAGTTTTGAAAATGGGGACAAGGTACTGTGCCTTGCTATTTTATTCCTGATACACTGAACACTGATGTACAATGTTATCCTTATGGAACTAAAATATGTTTTAGGCAATATGATACTATTTATTTGTCCTTTTTGGCATATTTGACCTTTGACCTGGAGGTAGAATTTAGTGTGACTTTTGTTATTACCTTGTAAACCTATTAGAAATAAATATGAAATTATTAATTCTTTGACAAAACTTTGGAAACATATACCAGTAAGAGAATATTTTGAACTTGGCCTTGAAGGGAAAGGACATGGTGACCACCCAGCTACAACAGCATGAAATGCAGACCTATATTATATACTTTTAAATTTAATTTTTATACCTTTGATTTTTGTTATATATTTTTTTAAAGGAAACAGTATTTCATATGTTGATGGTTTTATCTATTATTTTTCTATAATACTATCAATGCAACACGATGCTTTTAACAACTTTTTTATTATTAGATTTGCATGCATGCATTATTCACATTGGAGACCTGGATGATAGTACAAAATGTACGAAGCTTAACAGACTAGCGAGAATCTACATCCCAAAATTTGACTTTTGGATACAGATACAAAAATCGATCTATAATAATATATTTTAAATAAGTAACCACTGCAATCAGTGAGAAAATCTACATTGTACTATTCTGCCATTAAAACCATCTTCTACATAACTATCCCGACAGAGGGTCAAGGTCAATATTCACCTCCACACACTGGCGTATTTCCCTGCAGTACCTCACTTTGATTCATGCAGTAGGTATGACTGATTGGGACAAATAGTAAGCATATACATTGATATGTCAATTTACGGCAAATTGTTCTTATCTTGTAATTTCCATTTACTGAAATAGATAAATAACTGCAGGGGCACATATAAAATTCTATACTAAGTAATGCTTTGTACACCTGTTTAGTGCTAGGTAAATATACTTATATAATGCTGTATACTTATATATACATGTAAGTTACTAGTGTATATACCTAAACTTAAATAAATGTAAAAAAGTTCTGCTTCAATATGTTTTAAAACTTTCCCAGACAATAAATCTATACTGAGTCATTTTTAGGTCTAAATCGACAGAAAAAAATGTTTCCAGTTCTCTAGATAATAGATTTTGTCTCTCGATAATAAATGGGTAGGTTTCTTTTGAAACCAGTCCTAGCTCAAAAATGACGAAGAATTACACGGAAGAAAATGTACTTATACTTGAATACATCTACACATTATCTGTGGTATGTTATCTCTGAAAAAGAGACCTACGGCTTTATAATAGTTGTATACACTCCAGCCCAAAAACTGAACGAGTAATGGACCAGACAAACACAATATCATCACTTTACTTGGTCAGGGCAATAGAAGGATATTTTCTTAATAAGTTCATAGTCAAAATCTGTTACTGAAAACTTTCAAATATAACTTTCAAAATTATGAAAAAAATTACAAAAATATTTGCTTATTATGATAAATATGACCCTGACAATGCTTTGCCCTTTGCAGTATCTATCAATGAAATCCCTAAAAGGATATAATGAATATCCCTTATTGTAAAATAACATAATATTCCAGTTCAAGCATTCTTCAATAGTTTAATTAAGACCTTTATATTTGGAGATTGTCAAATATATGAAGAAAAATGCCAGTATCTATACTCCTGTCATGTAAAAAGCCAAATTAGATTTCCACTTGTCGCTACTGTGTAACCCACTTTTGTCAGGAAACCTGTTCATTACCCATTGTAGTAAAAAGTTCCTGTGACATATTTTGAATCTTTTGTCATTAAGGAAAACATGATTTTATATGTTCCTTTAAAAACTTCATGTGAAAAGATGTCTAGTAGATAGCTGAAATACATTTACATCGTACAAGGGCATATACAATTATAATACCAGCTGTACCTTATAACTACATAATAAATTGATCAATGTTTGGTAAATAATATATAAACACGTATTGGTTTGGCCCTGGCAGGTATCAACAATCCAAACGCCTGCTTTCCACTTTCTATTACGTAAGAGGAACGACGTATTTAAATATACAGTAAATATTATGCCAAAACGTGCACGTGTATACATGCCTTGTTTAACATGTCAACAAATCGACATCTGTTTACAAATATGCCCGAGATGTGCGCCCTAACGATCGAACAGATAAAGCCATGCCAGATTTTGATTTGATCTTGTCTAAATATAGATAAACTATGTCAACAAACAATGGGGTCAGGCTTAAAAGTCAACTAACTACCTAGTAAAGAGGGTGTGTCTGAATAACTACTTGTAAGTACCAGGGATATACAGTACATCAGAAACCATTCCAAACTTACGCTAATCCAGCGTTCTGTTTCATGTAAAGCTAACTCCGTGAAAAAGTCCTCCTCTTCTTCCTGTCGCATACGTAAGTCCCATGCATCATCGTCGTTTTGTTCTTCACTCGCCATTTTGTGAGCGAACGAACCCCTGTCCGAGGTCCACAGGTAACTGCGTCCCTGTGTAGGTTAATAACGAATATATTATGTGTTACGGTCGGTGAGCCCAGTCGGCGAGTTGTTCACTAGCCTGTGGCGAAGTTTTCACTCCGGAACCCAGTAAAAGGACTGAGGACATGCTACCTATGTACTGAGTACATATTTCAGTGTAACACCATCCATCATCACCTAATCTAGCGCTGGTCCAACCGTTATTATCCAACTACACACTACACCTGTCCGACTCTCATATCACACCAAATCAAATACCCACCCGAACGACTGTCAGGTGAAAGTTATGTTAGTGTCAAGTTCCTACTTTCAAACTCTTGGAAAAACAAAATACATTGTACTTGATGATTGTTTAGGAAAAGGGTGAATTTGATATGTTGTTTGAAAATTATCAAATTGTTGTATTTTTACAAAATTCATCCACCCAATCTTGCACTGGATAAAATTGTTGAAATATTTGTTTTAAATATGTGTTTAGTGATCTTTGTCAAGTAAATAATAAGGAAACAGAAATATATATTTACTAAAAAAGTTGGTGAAAAAATCTGAAATGTTCGCAGAACAGCAAATATGCACAACGATTTACTCCAAACAGCGATTGGAGAGATAAAATAGCGGCCCCGACCGTTATTGGAACAATTATCACATTAGTGGACGTTGGCGAGAGATCGTACTGACATAATGTGTGCTGTAATGTTGCCCTCAAGGCCTTGCCCATCACCACTAGACTACCGACATCTCCATAAAATCCAAAAATCGATGAAATGCGGACAAAATATCAACAAATGAAAAATACCGGAGGATAAGACCAGATGTTCGGAAGAGTTAACATCTTCTACTTCATCTAGGCTAATTGAAGTAATGTCAAGTTTTTAAATTTAATGAAAATCAGAAAAAAATATAACATTGTTCAAAATACTTCCAACACCATTTCACACAGGGAAATATATTACGTCTAAATGAGATCACAATGACCACCAGAAAACTTTTCGCAAATTATCATCCTGCATCTCTTAAAACTTGTCAATTTATCTGTCAATGTTTGTTTTGAAACTAACGCGGGATACGTGTAGTAGTCTAGCAAAGCGGAGAAAACAAATCATATAAAAATGACGTATAAAACACTTATAAAAGGGAGAATGTTCATCAATATTGATCGAAACTCGGAATTTTTTAGAAATCCACATTCCATGCCTATCATATTAAGACTGTCCTGAACTAATCGAGGCAGAAATACAACATTATTGACACGGATTCATCTGGAATCAACAACGTAAGTTGTCTGATGATATTTTTGTTGTGTAGTGACTGAACACGTTGGATAATGCTCAGATAAGTAATTACTTTGCGTCCAGTCTAACCATAGTTATATAGACCTTAATTGACCCAGATTTCAGCACACAGACATAGCTGCACACCGAGGAATTCGTCAGCATTGTCTCGCAGTTACAGTGAGCGAAAGGTGTATAATATTTATTCTGTTGTAATTTGACTCGTGTTTTCCTTGAAGGTAATTTACTTACGATAATTTTGGTATCAAAAAGTGGGAAAAAACTGATCGAATCCCGGCGACTTTTCCGAGGATGATATAAAATCCCTCCTCCCCCAGCTGAAACATTGTTACATGCCCCTGTGGTCAAAGCCATATCATTCCTTTATGAAAACTTTAAACTCGGAATAGACAAAAGCAAGAAAACATGTATATTGAATCCACACGCATATAAAAGATGTAAGGCCACGACCAGAGACAGAAGTCCCTACCTACATAATATGCGTGACCACGTCCAAAGCCTATTCTTTAAAGTGCTTCGCAGTATAGACTGAGAAAATTCCTCAACCAGTATAGCGAGACGGACGTTTGGGAATTATATGTATGTAGTTAGGAAATTAAAAGAAAACGAAGAAGCAGGCTTACTTTCGTCTGCTTGTGTCGCCAAGAAGAAGAAATCACGTATTCACACCATTATTTCTCAACGTTTTCGTATTTGTAACCATTTTCTTACCATGCCGTGCCGAAAAGTTTGTGTGAAACTATAGACACGGAAACACATACACGTAAAACTTTACCGAGAAATATTGTACTTAAGTATTCGTATTAGATCTTACTCAATAAAAGAGAAATATGAGACACAAAAACCTGAACTGTCACCCGAGTTACATTGCAGGCGTTGTTTACGTAACATGTAGAAGTAATTTTGTCAACAAAGAAAATTAACTACATTGTACACATAATGTGCATGTAAAATGTGAATAACATTAACTGCCATCCCATGCTAAGGATTCTAACCATGTTTGAAATAAAAGTAATTTCATGACATTTTCCATATCAACTATAGTAAAATGTGTCCCTTGCCCGGGGAGAATGGGGGCTTCAATACAATGTGGTAAAGTGTCTTTACACTCTTCCATCCATACATATGATCCTACCAGAGACGTATATAACATACGATATATACGTCTCTGATCCTACCTAGGGTGCTTGTTGAGAAGATTTTTTTTTCTAGTTCTCATATGCGGCTATTGAGGACATACCGCGTCGCGCATGCGCAGATTTCTCGCTCGAGGTGAACGATTTTTTTTCTATAGATTGATTATATACTGGCATTTCATAAAAAGAATGATATATCGTTTTGTAGATAAAGATTCCAAAATGTTTGCCTCTGATAAGTAAATTTAACATTTCTTCGTTAAAAATGCGTATATATATTCTTAATTTTTAGATGGAAATTTGTTGCGTCATATTTTAGTTGAAAATTTTTAACAAAACGATTCTTTTGACAACTTCAATGTGAAATAATAGCAATATTATGTATAAATCTCCAAATGTATGTCTCTGACTGTCAGGTGTAATAAATTTCCAACACATTGATACAACTTTGACAAACTTGAATTAAAAATTAGTTGTGTAATTTATTTGATGAAAAGGCACATAAATTCAGCTCATGGAAATTTTCGAAGTCCCATCGCTGTACAGGTAAACAAACATGACATCATTTTACGTGTATCATGTTCAGTTCAAGTTTATTCCGGGGGCCTTACAGCCCATAGGTTTACATGAATATTATACATACATACATAAACTTGTTATAATTGACATATATGGAGAGTGGCCTCCCTTGACGAGTATGCTTAATAATGTATAATAACCATGTACAACTTCACATTAATAGATATCCAGAATGCACATTCATACACACACACCCTCACATAAACGTTCACATACATAGTAAGCACACATGCTTTAGTGAAAACACTCCAGTACTCACTCGCTTACGTGCGAATCCGCGCATACCCTTATCTTTCAGAATTATCAACTAAGTCAATCAATGAAAGAAAAAATGTTGTGTATGAAAAAGTTAACGTTCTACAAATCAAATCTAATTAATAATGTTTTGTTTACAATATGCCTATAATACTTCAGATCGCCGTTTAAACCAGGTTATTTAACTCCGTTACATTGTTTATACTTAAAAGCTGAATTAATTTGAACACACTAGGTCTGCGAAAATAATGTGATTTCAAATATTTAGATTGGAGATCAACATGAAAGGGACATTTTAAGATAAAATGAAATTCGTCTTCAATATCCCTATTATTACATAATGTGCAGCCCCTATTTTCTCTGGCTTCATCCCTATATCTACACCTTTCAATATTGAGCTGATGTGATGACAATCTTATTTTTGATATACATATCTTGTATCGATAATCAATAGGTTTCCATAAATAATACTGCAGCCCAATATTGTCTATCAAATGTTGATATAAATAACCTTTCGGAGAATTTCGAATATCGCTCAACAATTCTTGAATATGAATTTCTTGAAACTTACTCTCTATTAACTTGTATACTGGTTTTCTGTCAAGACTGCTGTTCCATAAGTACCCTTATCCTAATTTATCTAGTTCTAAATTGATATTTACAATCCATCCATCGTTATCTAATAATCTTTGCTCATAGCATGCTTTCAACACACAATTATCTGTATCTTTGATTTTAGTCCAGTATTTCATTATTTTCAATTTTCTGACAATATACATTGGTAATCTACCTAATTCAGAATAAACTAAATCATGATATGTACATTTCGCAGCGCCTAAAATCTTTTTACAAAAATGGGAATGTACTTTTTCAACATTAGTAACTTTATGGAATCTCCAAACTTCCCTTGCATATGTTAATACACTACTAACATAAGTATCAAAAACTGAGCATAACGTTTCAACATTAAAGTTATGATTTTTCATTTTGTTTATCAGTCTAAAATACGACGTTCTCCCCTTTTCCGCGGCATGTTGCTGCGTATTGTTAAATTTACCATCAAAATTGAAAAGCATACCCAGAAAGTTAAATTTGTTCACAACTTCAATTTCAACATCGTTGTTAAACTATTTTTCATCATCTTTAATGCGCCCACCATTTCGAAAAAATACTTGTTTTGTTTTAAGTACATTAAGTTTAAGTTTCCATTTATCATTATAACCAAGCAGTGTATCTAGCATTGATTGCAACCCGCTTGGGGATTCAGCTATGAGAACTGAGTCATCAGCGTACATCAATACAAATATAGATATCATACCTAACTCAACAGATGGACAACTTTGGTTAATGAAATTCATTTTACACTCGTTTACAAAAAGACTATACAAAATTGGTGATAAAATTTCCCCTTGAAAGAGGCCGGTTCTGTTAGGATGATAATCTGAAATATGACCTTTATATTTGACAAAAGATTTGACATTATCGTACAATGATTTTATGATATTTAATAACTTCCCTTGAATTCCTTATTTTATTAGCTTACTCCATAGACTACTTCTATCGATGAGGTCAAAGGCTTTTTTATAATCTACAAAACAGCAATATAATCTTCGTTTTTAAAAAAAAAGTTTTCTTGATCAATGACTGGAGCGCAAATATTGCATCTACAGTTGAACAACCCTCCTTAATACCAAATTGA